TCCCTCATGGGTTTTCTATTCACCCTGTTGGTGATTTCTTTTGATGTGCAAAAACTTTTCAATAAGATCAGATCCAAGCTGTTGATTCTTTGAAGTATTTCCCATGCAGTTTATTTTTTTTCATGAACTCTCTGCCTGCCCCTATGTCTTCAAGACTTCCACCTACTATCTCTTCCAATACATATAGCATTTCTGTTTTAATATTTAGATGTTTAAGCCATTTTGACTTTATTTTGATGCATGGTGACAGGCTTGGGTCTAGTTTTAGTCTTTGGCATGTGGAAAGACAGTTTTTCCAGCACCATTTATTAAAGAGGCTATCTTTTTTCCAGTGAACATGTTTGGCCCCTTTGTCAAAGATAAGGTGGCTGAGTGTCTTTGTGGTTGTGTCTGCATCTTCTAATCTGATCCACTGATCTTCAGGTCTGGTTTTTTTTTGTTTTGTTTTGTTTTGTTTTTTGCCAATACCATGCTGATTTTATCACAGTAGCTTTATAGTATAATTTCAAATGGGGGATTGTGATACCTCCTGCCTTGCCTTTGTTTCCCAGGATTGCTTTTGCTATTCTGGTTCTCTTCTGGTTCCAGATGAATTTTAGGAATATTTTCTCTAGGTCTATGACGTTTACCAATGGTATTTTCAACACACTCATTCTTTCCCATAAAGGTTTTATCCCATTGGACAGCATTGGCTCAAAATCTTGCACCTTATCATCCACAAAGTCCCCTATCTTCATAGACACTCTATAGCTTGATTGAGAGGGTCTGTAATCCACACCCTTAATTTCTTCAAAGAGCCTTTTGCCCGACTGAGGAACCAGCAATGGGCCGGGGATATAGTTCAGCCAACACAAGAACCTGCCGGGGAAGTGTAAGGTCCTGAGTTCGATTCCAGGTACAAAAAAAAAAAAAAGACCCAGCAATGACCAGATCTGCGCAACTTAAGACCAAAGCACTCAACTTCTTATAGGGTTTTATAGTTATATCTTGGGCTTTATCTTTAGACTTTGATTTTAGAGTGTATCCTTCCTTATATTTTTGCTTTGAAGCTATTTCTTATTTTTTTTATTTTAGCATTCCTTTTTGCTATGGGTTGAGTTCTACCTTCCAAAAAGACACATTGGAATACTAACCTCCAGTACTTCTGAATATGACCTTCTTTGAAAATCAGGTCTTTGTGGACATAATCAAGTTAAGATGAGGTAGAGTGAGCCTTGATCCAAAACAACCGCTGCTTTTATAAGAGACACCAGGGCTCAAAGGCACAGAGGAACTGCTGTGAAAGACTGTAACAGGGCAGCAATCTGCAAGCCAGGGAGAGGCCTCAGGGAAACCAGTCCTGCTGTCACTTTGATCTTGGCCTTCCAGCCCCCAGTACTAGGAGAAAACAATTTCTGTTGTTTCTGGCACTTTGTGGTATTTTGTTATGCCAGTGTGAGCTAATAGTATATCAAACTTGTGTAAGAGATGTGAAAATATCTTGCTATTCTTAACATGTATCTATTAATTTTCTGTTAAAACTTTAAAAAATAATTTTATATAATATATACATACTTATACATGAACATACATACAGTAATTAGGTCTGTTTCTATTCAAAATGTATAAGCTTGTATTTGTTTCTAGTCTAATCTGACAGTGTGCACTTTTATTAGGAGGGCTGACATCACTTTCATTTCATATTGTAACCCATTGTAAATATAATCCCCTACTTTCAGGAGTGGGAGAAAAAGGGCTTTTCACCTTTCCAGGATGGAAATGCATCAGAAGCTGCCTCTCCGTGGTTTGCTGTGGACTGAATTAAAAGGCCTCATGTGATGGAAGGTTGTTTTCAAGGAATTACCAGATCTGCGCAACTTAAGACCAAAGCACTCAACTTGTGAAGCCGGGGAGAGCAGTCTTGAACTGAGCCAAGTTAAAGTCGAAGTCGGCATCACAATTACTGGAAGCAGAGTTACAGGAGAAATCTTAGAGACCTTCTCAAACCAAAGAGTGATTGGCAGTGGGAATTTTTAAGACAGCTCCCTCAGCCTGAGAATAGACAGACCTGAGCAACCTCTAAGAACACATTTTCTGATTTCTCCTTTGCTCTAACTCTAATACACAAACTTCTGGCTGCTTACTTGTTTTCTTTGCTTTGTTTTCTGCAATGACTTAGAAAACAAGCACCCCATGTTCAATCCTCAAGTTAACTTTCAATTTAATGAAATATATATTATAATCCACATTTCTCTCATTATCAAAGTCAGAAGAAAAGATATTTTGCTTGCCCTGCAATTAAAGTAAGAAATTCAGCATATTTTTAATTTACCTTTCATCTTGCCTTTAAAAAATAGTATAGATCCAATCTATTATAGAACCAGTTAGCCAACTTCTTAAAAGTTCATATTTGTTCCAAAAACATTCTTAGCTTTTCTATTTAATTTTATAATTCTTTTTTAAAAACACATATATCTTGGCTTCACAAGGACCACCAACCTTTTTTCAGTCTAATTTCCTTATTTTTGACTTATTAATCTTAATTAGTTAATGTCTGTTATAGGAAGTGTTCAAATACGTTTTCAGAAATGTGGAATTGCTTCTGATTCTGCAGATATGTTTCCATTACTATTTTTATGAGTTAAATTTGGCATTGGATAGTATGAGTAGACCATGAAATTTCCTCTGCAGAAGAGCATTAATCCATATGGAGGTAGTGAATAAAGACTGAAACAATTCTAACTTCTTTTCCTCTTTGACTAAACTATTGTTTTGCTTGCTTGCATGATATTTTCTTTATTCTAAATTTTTAGGCTATGTAGCGATATGGGCCTTTTTCTCATTGATATGTGAATTTTTATACTCAAGAAGATTTTTTTCTATTGTTTGTGATTATTATTTCTGACATCTTCAGAAATATTTGTTATTTATAGGTTTTATTTCTACCATTTTATTTCTGTTTATTTTCTTCTCTTGCAGTTTTATCTTTATATTTTTCTTTTACAGTCTTGGAAGGCTCATCCACAAACTGTGTTTTCTCTGTTGTTTATTCTGCTCTTTAGTGCATGGATAGACCTTTTGCCTTGGCTTATATCTTCCCCTCTTTGGCTGGCTGCATGTTTGATAAGGCCAGTGTAGATAGTTGACTTATCCCACCTGAATGTGCCCTCGTGGTCTGGCCCAGCCTCATCTTTGCTCTAACCCTGGATGATGAACTGTTCGTACAACTCCTAACTCAGCTTCCAGTGGATTCTCACCAGTGTGGCTCTGCTCCACAGAGAATTATCTTAACTTATAATTTCCAGGGTCTTCAGATCATTTCCTAAAAGAATACTTGTCCCCATGTTCCTTGGACTCTCTTCTTTGTACTTCCTTTGAGTTTTACTGGGAGACACAACTGTGTAATTGATATGAAAAGAGACTAAGAGTTGATGGGCATTTGGGTTGTTGCCAAGATTTAGCTCTTACAAATTGTGCTGCTGTAAACATGGGTGCACACACATCACTATGGTATGATGTTTTTAATTCTTCTGGGAAGGTCTCCAGAAGGGGGAATATCTGGGTCCAATGGGACCTCTAATCCTAGTTTATTGAGGAATCTCCACACTGATTTCCATAGTGGTTTCACCAGTCTACACTCCCACCAACAGTGGGGAAGTGTTCCTTTTTCCCCACAGCCCCTCCAGCATTTGTTATGGGTTGATTTCTTGATAATAGCCATTCTTTCTCTAGTGAGATGGAATCTCTGTGTTTTTAATTTGCATCTCTTGGATGACCAATGATGTTGAACTTTTGCATCTATTTATTTTCCATTTGTATTTCTTCATCTGAGAAGTGTGTATTCATCTCAGAAGCCTATTTTTAGAACAAATTGAGGTAGGAAAGTCACACACTAGGCAATATTTGAAGCCACAGAGACTCAAAACATGCTAGAAAAGGAGGGGAGAACAAATGTATGTTTTCTGGTAAAAGAATGCATATGATGTAACATTTGGTAAGGAGAGATTCCTTGGGGTCTTGGGCCAATTAACTAGTGGAGAGTAATATATCGATGTGCACCCAGAATACAAATCATTAGTTCCTAGCATTTCCACATAACTATTCTTTGTAGATTCCTAGCATTTCCACATAACTATTCTTTGTAGATTGTGTCTTTTCACGAAATCTACATCTCTGATTTTGCATTTTCTCTACCCTTCCCCTTGCATTTTCAATATATTAAACAATAAATAATAGCAATATTAAATATCCTGTTTGAGATTCTCAAAAAGAAAAAAGAGAGAGAGAAACTATTGGGACAAGGAGAGTCTCAGGGGCCCAACCATGGGCCTCTGGGTGTCTAATTCCCATGCAGAGGGAGAGTAGCAGCCTGGATTCTTGTTTTGGCAGCACTGAGCCCCAAGCAAGACAGGGAGTGGGATGAGTAAATCTTTATTGTGGGGTATTGGTGGCTGTTTACGTTGGATTGGAAAAGGAAACACATATTCATGGAGTAGGGATAGTCTCCCCTCAAACCAATGCTACTGTGCTTGGTAGATGTTCCCTCTAGGTTTCCATCAATGCTAATGCAAAGCCTTCAGTTTTTGCAGAGATTCAGTTATTTTAAAAGGAAATAGAGTGCATTTCAGCCTAACCCAATGTTAGCTTTTACATATGCCGGATGCACTTTTTTCCACCAAAGAATAATATATTTGTTATAGATCTAGAACAAAGATATTTCAATTCTAGTGAAGGTTAAAAAATTCATCCGACTCATCACTTCCCGTGGCAGCCAAATGATGATGCTTGTGGGTGGGGTTCCAAAGGATGACATAAAGTGGGTTAAACAGGAACATACTGGCTGCCAAAACAAGCAGGGCTATCCTGCCACTTGGCTTAAAGGGACCTTGGCTTTTTAGGAACATAATTAAACTGACTCATCCTCTACTAAATTCAGCAGATAGTGTATGAGCCCAAAGCACAAATCAAAAGGGCCAAAACACACATCAAAAGAGAAAAAATATAACACAATATATTTTTACCTTATGATGAATTCTGGCCACTAAGCACCACTGAAGAATCCTTTCCATGAAAATTCACTGCCTTCAACAGAAAGGTGAGTTTACTGACTGTATCCATGTTCAATGCCAGGAAACTGAAGGAAAAGAACAGTGACCAGCATCAATATTTTGGCTTCACCAGAAAATTTCATTAGCAAGCGGTACAGGGGATTTGTTTTCTTGAAGAAGTTTTCTTGTCATAGAAAAGTATTGCAAACACATATCCTTTACTGGTCCCATTTCTCATTGGCTGTACATGTGCTTCTTTTCAGTATTTATTTATTTATTTTTTTGGTAAATAACTTCCATCAAGTGAGTTTATAAAAATGTACTCAACCACTGTTGAATAACTCTTACAGTTGAATATTAATTACCAGTGTAAATGTCACCAAGTATCTGTCAATGGGTAATATTTATTATATACATTATCTATTGGGAGCTGTACAAAATACTTGCTGTGAGTTATTCAATAGTCTCAGTAATTCTAGGATGCAGACACTGTAATTATCCAGAAACTAAGCTCTGAAAGATTTCGTAACCTGCTCAAGGTCACACAGGCAGAACACAGTCAGCTCAGGTTTGGTCTTGGGGACACCACTGTTTGAGGGAACGGATGACATGGAGGGCTGTGGACAAACACAGGGCAGGGTGCCATGGAGACAGTACCTTCAGCAGGTAGCAATCACCACCTTCCTTCTTTGCAAATGGGGAACTAAGGCACAGTGGAGTTAAGAGACTTAAGCACAAACTGAGTCAAATTAGCCCACTGTATGGCCCTTTTCTTATGCAGCAGTATATGCTGGACTCAATTTGTGCCTCTTCTCCTATGAACCTTTAGGTTACCTAGGTAGAGAGATAAATGGTGAGTTCATGCGCAGGGTTTCCATGGTACAGTCCCCACTTGCCTTCCGCTCCCCTCACATCCTGGAGTGGTAAATTATAAACCCTAATAATTTAGATTACAATTCACTAAATGTTAAAAACCCAAGTAGCTGTTATTGATAATCAGAGGCAAGAGAGAAAGTTTCAGTAGGGTGGTAGGGGGATAAAAAAAAAGAATCAAGATGTGTTATGTACATGAACCAAGTCCTCACAATGAATGTAATCATTATGTACTGTAAGCATGTACTTCTAAAAATAAACACTAAAAATAATGTTCAGAAACACCACACCAAAGGGAGAAGCACTTTCAAGGCATTTTATACAGCACTTTTGTGAATATCAAGAGCGGAATTAATAATTGCCCTTCATATAGACAGCAAGGCAAATGGGAGGTCATTTACAAGCCAATTACCTGGAAATCTAAATGACTGTCTCACAGTGCTTATTCTGAATCTGGGCTTTGAAAGGTGGAGTTTTTGTTTCAGTTTATTAAAAGGCATAAGGAACTTCCACAGTTTATTGAAAAGTATGTTTTAGTTATTGCAAGGCTGTTACTGTGAGACCCAGAGGCTGTGAATGTGGTAACATCGTGGGGTGTTTTTGTAGTCAGTGTCCATCTACCTATGGCTCTGAAATTCATGTGCTACAGGAGGGATCCCTCCCACCCAGCCTGCAGGTCCTACATCAGTCTTGGCCACACAAGTAGTCCTGGGAGCTCACCCTAGAAACCGTGGACTTCTTAAAAATAGAAATATAGCTAAAGGTTGCCACCTCCTCATAACTTGTGTTTTACAAGAAGGTCAGAATGACTCTATATTTAAATAAAATTTAAATGAAATACAAATGCATTTCATTAGTCATCAGGGGAATACAAATGAAGCCCAGAACGAGGGAGAGCTAAATATTCACCTAAATGACTAAAATCAAATGTACTGGCATCAAATGTTGCCAAGGATATGGAGATACGAGAATTTTCATACCTGCTGGGGGAAGTGTAAAAATGGTGAATAACTTTAGAAAAAGTTTCCAGTTTCTCATAAAACTAAAGAAACACATTTCTAGGACCTGGCAATTCCATGCTTACCATTTGCCCAAGAGAAATAAAAACAGATGCTCACTAAAAGAGTGATGTCAGAATGTGCATAGCCATTGTGCTCATTGGAGTGAAAACCTGGAAACATCTCAGGTATCTATTCATCATGAGGAAAGGGAAACAAATCCCAGGACATCCATAAAATAAAATATTATTCAGCCATAAAAAGGAACAAACTAATCTATAGGACACCATGATTGACTCTCAAAATGCATTATGCTAAGTTATTGAGCCAGTTACAGAACAGAACAGATTGTATGCTCCATTTATATGCAATTCTAGAAGAGGAAAGGCTAACCTATAGTAGAGTGAGTTAAGGGACTGATGCATGGATATACAGTTGTGTGCTGTGTAATAATACTTCAGTCTAATAATACTCAAGCATTTATAATGGTGCTGCCATAAGATTATAATGGGACTGACAAATTTCTAACATCAGGTGACACCATAGCCATCATAAGGTTGTAGCACAACACATTGCTCAAAGGTTTGTGGTGTTTATTTACTGGTGTAAATAAATGTACTGCCCATTTTATAAAAGGGTGACACATACAAGTATGTAAAATACGTAATGATGGGTAATGATAACAGGTGGCTATGTTACTGGCTTATGTCTTTACTCTGCTATACTTTACCATTATTTTAAGGTGCACTCTAAAAAGAAGTCATAAAAATTTACTTGTACGTGGGATGCTGTGTTCTTCCAGCAGAAGCTTCATGCATCTCCTGCTTGTGCATTTCTTGAGTGGTTGACCTATACTGTAGGGAACCTTGTTGGTCTCTTGTACCCCAGAGAGAAATGGCGGTGGGTGTGAGAAAAATAAAGACAAGAGACAAGAGCTGGGTCAGATGGTGTTACCCCTTACCTAATGGGAAGAGGACTAACGTTAATGTTAGGGGTGTTTATTTTATACTCTTGCAAAGTTAGTATCAGGAGAGGTACTGTTGTCTAGCGACTGACAACTGTAATTGTCCAGGCAGGAAGCTTTTCTAAGACTGAGGTAGCTTGACTGCTTGAGGCACTCTGGTTCTTCCTGCCCTCACACATAGGACCAATATCCAGCTCCAGCGGCTCCCGACACTACGCCATCCAGGTTCGTGTAAGTACACTCTAGAATGATCAGAGGATGATAAACTGCCTGATGACTCGTTTTTCGGAGCTCATCTTTGTCCTGAAGTGACACCTGGCTGTATGCATGCGGCAGTGACACTGCAAGAACAGTAATGTGTTTGTGCACGAGAGACAAATTTATGAATGCTCGCTGTAAAATCTTTTCAACTTTGCTGAGTGCTTGAAAATGTTCACAATACAATATGGAAATTGCACAGTCGCATGCAGGGCAGAATCTTGACTTTCCTGAACACCCCCCACCTCTTTGTGGTCCTTATGCTGATGAGAGCTTGAGGGTGACAGTGGTGAGTTGTCCTAGGGGACAAGGAGAGGCTCCACTGGCCAGGACAAGCAATGGCAGAGGGGAGAGGTTTGCAAAGCTGGTATGCTCCTCTCTCAGAGCCTTTTCCTTGCAGAGTTCACTTCCGGCCAAGCTGCACCTGCTTCACCTGGTCTCAGGAAACTTTTCAGGATCATTATTGGTTCCCCCCAAGTCCAAATGAGGAGCAGCTTCTTGGTGTCTCCAAAACAGGTTGCCCCATTGGAGGAACTTCAGAGTAGCAGGAGTTCTCAGCTCATCTTTCCTCGAGTGCTTCCCTGGCCTTGTCACTATGACCGGTGTCCAGTTCTGCTGGAGTGTAAGCTCCATGGAAGCCAAGAGCCCAGTCACCACCACGTCACCAGTGCTCAGAGCGGTGCCGAGAACGCAAGGAGTGCCGAAAACGTGTTGATGACAAGGCCTTTCCTTAACACAAAAACCAGAGTAAGCAAAGTGTGGAGATGTAAGTGGATAAGCACAGACGGACTGAATGAGCAAAGCCTGGCTGTGTGGGAGAGAGATATGCACTGTTTTGGAAGTTAATAAGCGAGACAAAAATAAATGGGCTAGAACTTTCCAAATATTTACAATTGGAATACTGCCTTTGGCACATCTCAAATCTATCCTGGAAAATTTGCTAGGAATATAGATTTGCATATGGGTGAGAGCATGTCATGCTTTCAAAATGATGGAAACAAGCCCTGTTCTGCTATCTGGAAAAGAAATGAAAGGGCAGATGATTTGTGGCCAGTGGGGGGAACAAGTTTCCTGAAAGGATGAAACTGATTCTGTTGGGAAATTGTACTATTCTTTCGACTCCTTGTATGTTGGAAAATTTTCAAACTAATAAGTTGGAGGGAAATCTATCAGTACCATAAAATTCCCACTCAGGGCTAGAAATATTAAAAAGATATAATGGTTTTCTGCAGTGTGTGAAGACAAATTGAGACATGAAAACTAAGAGAAACTTGAAGAACTAGTCATGGGATGTGAGCGATCATGTTTTCAAGCTTTAAGATAAACTACAATTGGAATAAACAGAAACCTGAGCAGCAGTAAAAGAAAAAGAAAAGCGGAGACTACAATTTCTAAATTTCACTTCATCCCAGTGGTTATGAAAAGTCCCATACCACTACTTACTTACTGTATTTTCCATGATTTAATCAGGATTGTAAGACTGTATTTTCTAGTGAATAGTTGCTTTGGAAATTAGTTTAATACCTGTGGATTGTGGAGTCCAATAAATCTGCTTCCAAATGAAAATAATATTTTAAAAAGAATACAAAAGATAAAGCAAAGGGAGCTCCAAGATTAGAATAAAATAGATAATATGTTTTTGTGCATATAGCAATGAAATAGAAAAAATGAGAGAATCAACAAAGGGAACAGTTAGTTGCTTGGAAAAAATAAAAATAAAACACAAACATCTGGCAAGACTGAGCAACACTAACAACTGCCTTCCTAAAAGATGCAAAAGATAATTTTAAGTATAAAGGACACATAAGCACAGATCAACAGAAGTTAAAAAAGATAGACAGTACTGTGAAACACTTACACAAAAAATTTAAAACTAAATGAATAAAATTCTAGAAAAATACAGTTTCCCAAAACCCACAGAAAAAGAAAAAGCTTAAGTGTACTAAAACAATTAAATGAACTAAATGATTAAGACCAGATCATTTTCAAATAATTTGCTAAATTCTGCCACACAATAAGAAACAATTTCCAAAATGTCTCTATGAGACCAGTAAAACTTTGACAAAAATCTAAATCAGGGAGGTATAAAAATAAGAATATATACACTGAAGCACATAACCCCCCATACTAACTAGCTGAATATAGAAAATTAGAGGGATGAGAATATAGCATAACAAAATTGGGTGCCTCTTAAGCATGGGAGATAGCTTAACATTAGAAGGTTTATAAAGATTATTTATCAAATTAACAGAATAAAGAAAAACAGGATCATTTCACTAGATGAAAAAACTTCACTTGATAAAGTTTATTATCTAATAATTTTTAAAACATTTTAAATAAATGAAACTTCTTTAGGAAATAAAGTATTTATCAAAAACTCTGCAAGCATCATTCTTAATAATGAAATGTTGAATTAATTCTTTTTAAAACCAGCAATAATACAAAAGATAACTTCTATGATTACTTCTATGAAAATTATATGGGAGGCCTTACACCCTGGGTAAGACATGAAAAAATAACAATGGGAAAGGAAGAAACAAAAAATCATTCTTTGCCAATGGTATGGTTGTTTATGGAAAAAAGCGCAAAGAATCTATAGACATATTTAGAAGAAAACTTTCAATCTAGTTTACACATAAAAACCAACTGTATGTGTAATAAACCAGCAATAACAGAAATACAATTTTTAAAAATTCTCAGAAGAGCAATGACAAAATTATAATGCAACCAATTGTAAATCTATGAAATGATGCGCTCTGTGTGGAGAAAATGATAAAACTCTGGAAGCTAAAATCTTTGAGAAAAAAATATATTTCTATGTTAATTTTTCTGCAAATGTGCATAGATTTAATACATTTTCAAAGAAAATTGCAGCAGGTTTTTAAAATTTTGGTAAAATATACCAACAGAACATGTATGATTTTAACCATTTCAAGTGTAAAGTTCAGTGACATTAAGCATATCACCCTTGTGCATCTATGATCACCACCCACCCCTGGGGCTTTCTCAGTTTCCAATCTAAGACCCTACACCTGTTCAATAACAGCTACTCCTTACATTCCCTCTTAGTCTTTTTAATACATTTCCTGTTTCTGAGTTCACCAATTTCAGTAACCTAGGTACTTCATATCAACTCAACCTTATAATATTTTTCTTTTTGTGTTTGAAGATTTTGTTTTGTTTTGGAGGAATATGACAAACTGATTCCAAAATTTATATGGAAGTACAAGGTAGCCAACATAATCCTGAATTATATTTCAGATATAATAACATGATAGCATACTAATATTTTATTATAAGGCTAGGGAAATTATAACAGTGGATGGCTGGATGAAGGATACACAGACTAGAAAAAAAATTGCCCCATAATGAACTCCTCCCTATTTAAAAATTTAATAAGTGCCAAAGTGAGCACTACCAACCACTAGGAAAGGATGGTCCTTTCATTAAATGATGCTAGAAAAACAGACTAAGAGAGAAAAAATGAAATTAGATCCCTTTCTCAAGTCATAGGTAAAAAGTTTCCAGTGGATTCAAGAATTAAACACAAAAGGTGAAACTCTCAAACTTTAAAAATATATATCCCATGACCTCAGAATAGACAACACAGAATGCTGAACATAAAAGATTGATAAATATAAATTAAGAATTAATAATTTTAATTTTCTTTTTGTGGCAGTATCGCACTAAGTCACTAAATTGCCCAGGCTGGGCTCAAATTTGCAATCCTCCCCCCTCAGCCTTCTAGAGTGCTAGGATTGCATGCACCACCACACCTGGCATATTCACTATTTTTTTGCATATTCTACCAGATATTAAAAATTTCAAACAAGAGCAAATTGCACCATAGCAAGTCTCCATAAACTTAAGCTTAACAATAAGATACCGAAGGGAAGTGACAGAGATACTTTGAGAACTCTGTACCTGGTTCTCAACTTGTCACCCACAGATGCAGCCCAGTTCTGGAGCAAGCTGAAGAGTTGTTTTTTTTCCTCATGCTTAGTGTATTCTTTTTTTCTTTTTCTTTTTTTTTTTTTTTGTTTTTTTTTCCGGTACCGGGAATTGAACTCATGACCTTGCACTTGCCAGGCAGGCGCTGTGCGGCTGAGCTAAATCCCCAGCCCCATGCTTAGTGTATTGAGCCAGCAGTTCCCAAGCCACAGCCTGCAAGGAGAGTTTACTACGCATCAGCCACATCTCAGAAAGGTAAAGAGTCTTTCAACATTGCAGATAGAAAGAGTCTATTTGTTATTATCCAACTTCTTGGAAGAAATCAAGTGTAAGACCCCATCCTTCTGGGGCCCCCAGTTCCCATGATAAATGTGTGCTGTTTACCCCATGGTTCCCCACCCTTCCTGTGGCTGACTTCTGACTAATCACACACTTCCTGCTCGCTCTCCCCAGCCTTGAATACTGGCCCCTGGATCACGATTTCATTTGATGCATCAGATGGAATCTGCTTGCCTTCCTTGGCCCAGAAGGTTGGTCTGTTCTCTCTTTTGCCTCGGACATTATCTGGTTGAACTAAGCCTTGGAGGAATCTTATTAAAATGTGCAAATAAAGCAATCTATCAATTGCCCTCTGGAACTTCAAAGTCATAATTTGGACCTAAAATCCTGCATACTTTTCCAGTCTTGTTCAAAGATGTCCTTGGCTGACCCTCTACAGAAGGAGGCTCTGCTGAATTTGCAACACATGTCAGCTATGTGAGTGAGGCCACAGTGGTCCAGCCTGCCCCCACTGAACCTCCACAGCAGGGGTGAGCCTGGCCCAAATTGCTGACCTACAAAATCACAATAAAATCATAACAAATTGTTGTTGTCCCAAGACTCCAATTTTGGGGTGATTTGTTAGTAGTCAATAGAGAGCTGATTCCTTTTCTTTCACCTGTCAGTTTTAGAATATTCCATCTTTGTTTCACACCATACATGTTTTTATTTAGGTTACACCAAATGTTATATGCTTTCATTCAACAGTTTATCTTCAGTAGGTTTTGGTTCATATGGATAGGATCCTATTAATATGCTTAATGGCTGTATAGTATTCTTTGGATAACCCACAGCTCATTAAACATTCCCAATCAGTAAACTGCTTTGCTTGTTTCCAATTCTGTACTATCATACTAACCTTGAAATCAATATATTCGAACAAATAACACTGTCCTTTCTAATTACCTGAGAATTAATCTTTGTGTGCTTGATGTAGGGATTCTTACAAAAGGAAAACCTACACGCGAAAGGGATGCTGAAGAGACAGCAAGGCATTTTTGCCTGGAGGAGTTTTGTTGGTGTCAGTGAGCAGAGCCAGGTATGTAATGTACGGGACAACCAAGAGAGGATGGTGCTATACCCTCCTTCCAGAGGCCGTGAGGTCAGATGCACACAGGTTACGAGAACCCAGAGCCTGACTCAGTTATTCCAAAGCTGTCAGGTTCTCCAGTCCCAGGCCTATGGAAAGATCAGTCTCCCCTGCCCTCTATAAAAGAGGGATACCTCAGGCCAGTGCGCAGTGACTCAGTCATTCTCTCCTTTCTCATTGTCATGGTGACCTGCAGTATTTCCAGTTGTGACTGATCCTTAAGCCTGGGCCTTAGTCTGCATTTGAGCGTAGTAATTCTGTGTACAGAGCAGGCACTGGTATGTCTTGCTATGGTTTTGACTTTGTCTTATTATAAATTACTTTCCTTGAAGTACTGTCTTGCATTTTTGAAATTAGAACTTTAGATGGGTTATATGGTCCAAGGTTTCATCTTGGGGTTGTAAAGGGACTCTTCTAAAATACCTATGTAATGCATTGTGTCTAGTGAGATAAAGTATCACTGGCTATGGGTCAAAGACCACGAACATTTTCAAAGCTGCTGCTGTACAAAATAAGTGCGAAAATCAAGCACTGCCAACATTGGGAAGAATGACTGACTTCAGGATTACGGTAAGAATGATACAGCCGTCAAGTTCAGCTTCACTGATAAGTCACTAGATTAACATTTGCATCATATGGTTCTTGCTAATCTATTAAATTTATGGTGGCTCAAACTCTAGCTACAAAAATGACATAATTCCAAGTATGAAGCAATCGCTTTCCCTGATCCCCACCCTCTATATTCTCCCTTGCTTTATTTTTCTTCCTTGCAGGTACTACTACTTGAGCACATAGAGCAGCACTTGCTTCCTGATGTGTGGTCCCCTGCTGTGTGGAATGTCAGTGCCAACAGGTCAGATGCACTCACCTTTACCACCAGGCTACTCTTGATAGAGGTGCAGTTGAGGAGTCATTCCTGAATAAGTGAATGGGTAAATAAGTTTCCTTTCTGTCTCAGTATCTCACCTAGTATGTTTGGTCCCTAACTCCCTTTGATTTTGTCACTGTTTCCACTTTTCTTATTTAGGCAAATTAAATTGGGAAAATTAAATCATTAACTAGAATTAAAATTAGGATGAGACAATAATCATGTTCTGGTGCTAAGCTTAAAAGAAGAGGAGGTGGGGGAGAGAGAGGTAGAGAGGTAGAGAGAGAAGAGAGAAGAGAGAAGAAAGAGATTGGGTCCTGCTAATCCCACAAAAGCAGATATATCATTTGGAGATCTTTCCTCCTTTTTCTGGGTCAAGAGACAAACCAACATGCTTTTAAAAATGAGGTTATTTTCTTTTCCATTCTCCTTCTCCTCCTTCTCTTGTTTCCTTCTTCCTCTTCCTCTCCCTCCTCCTCCTCCTGCTGCTGCCACCCCCTTGGCAAAGATTAAATGATAGAAGCTATGAGCTATCATGAGATTTGGAGCTGGGTCTCTAGATCCAGTACTGTATTTGACATTATTAGGAGGTAGCAAAAGTAGATCAGGTACCTCGCAGACTGAGCATGCAATAAGAATGTGTTTGTTTTTACTTCATAAGTACATTCCTGAATGTATTATAACATACTGTGTAATACGTTTAATTTTCTATTTTCTAACAATCATAGATACACACAAGTTGTAAAATTAAATGCATAGGAGTTTGCTCTAGTCATCATGTAGAATCTCCCTAAAGGAGATCTTTCAGATAAAATAGTGATTACCAAAACCAGGAAAATTAAGGAACATTTTTATGCATTGAATCTTTTAGCTGCAGAAAATATTTCATTATTTTAAATGGACCTCACGGTAGATCCTTTTTATCAATTTAGAGATTACTTTTGCAATACAAATGGTTCCATCCTCACGTACACCTGCTATCTTCCTGTACCAGGTGTTTCTGTGGCCCCTCACATCGTTCTCTGGTGCTCACTGTGAGTACTGTACCCTTTCTCTTCCTGTATAACTTCTCAGGAGCCCTTTCGTAAGAGAACTCTGAAGCCACCGAGCAATCAGAACAGCCATGCTCGTTTCTTCTAAAAAAGATCCCATGTGCAGGAGAAATCAAGTTAATCTACAGCCAGTATTTGGAAACTATGAGTGTGAGCAATCGTGCAGAATGACGACATCAGAAACACCCACTTATAATAAATATCATATACATCACGCAACACCGATTATGTAACACCAATAAAAGTTATTTTTTAGGTCAAATTGCTTTTCAAGGCATCTATGAAACAACTAGCGTTTCTGCACACCAAGTATTTCACTGATTTATGCCAGGTACAGTGAAACTTGGATTAAAAAGTCTAACAAGTACTGTTTCCTGCCAAGGCAGAAACACTTAGAGCCAAATGGAATGGAAAAACACGATTCCTCAGGAAAAACCACACAAGAATCATTCTGTACCAGTGATGAGCCAGGCAAGGGGGCCACACTAGGACTTACACCAGGCAGGGTGATGGAGTCTCTCACCATGGCAGTATCTCTGGTATCAGGGGCCCAGGTCATCCTCTGAGGACTCCAAGGCAGGACTGGCTATATGATTGGGGCCGAGGCCAAAGTGATAATGGGAGGACCCTTTGTTCAAAAGTTATCAAGAATTGAAAGAAGGTCACACCACAGCAGGAAAGCAGCAGGGGCTCTTTCAAGCCCAGAGCCTATGCTACCATATAGGTGTCATTGAGGAAATTGGCCCTGGTCCCAGGGGCTCCCATGGGATTGCCATAGAAATATAGGATGCCTCATTAATATTTAGGCACCCAAATATTGCATGGGGCATACTTACATTAAAAATTTATTTGCTGTTTACCTCAAATATAAATGTAAATTTTGTCTTCTATTTTCATTTGCTATATCAGGCTCCTGAAGGGCGGCTCAGGGGTCAGCCAGGGGTGCAGAGATCTGGGAAACACAAAGTGAGCATGATTCTCCCCCGAACACATTGGCTTTTCACTTCTCTGAGGTGCTGGGCCTCTCACTAAGGCAAGATGTCTTTGAGAATACTTAAAACTCTCTGGCTAGATGATATGAGAGGAGAGGGAGAAAGACAGAGAGAGACAGAGAGAGACAGAGACAGAGACAGAGAGAGCTGCCAGGATCCCAGAGCCAGAAAGTGTAAGTTAGGACTTAAATCTGGAGTCCATGCTCTTAGCAATCCACACTGAAAACTGCACCTACTGTATGTCAGGCTCTGCGCCTAGCACTGGGGGTACAAAAAAATGCAGGGAATACGCAGAAGGCAGGAACAGACAGCCGAGTGTTGTAGTGCTCAGAGGTGACCAAGTGGCCGTGACTCCTACATTTGGGGGCTTGGGAGAGTAGTGCAGCCGTACATTACAGGGACAGTTCTCCCAGCGCCTCTGTCCTTCTTCGGGTCTCTCGTCCTCTCCCCCTTCCACCAACCTGGACCACATTAAATGAGTCCTCTGCCACAGACCTGCCTCTCAGTCTCAGGCTCGGCTGCCGGGGTGCAGGTCGCATACAGCAGCCTTGCCCCAGCCCACCTGGGCAGATGCATGCAAAGGAGGGACTCCTGCTCTGTGTCTGGAAATGAATCCGTTTATCAGACAGAAGCTAGAGCCAGTGGGGTAGAGGAGAACGTAGGGCTCATAATCTAATGGCCACAATGTAGCCTAAATTGCAACCCTACTGTGTGCTGAGCTGCCCACTGGAGTAATTA